AAAAGAAAACTTTCCTTGGCAGTGTTGGTGTTTCATTAAGAGAAGTATAATAAAGCACAAGTTATATATTGGGGAGTTTTGACTCCGTCATTGTTTTATTTATAAATAGTGGATTAGCATATATGAATAGTACTTAAAAATTAAAGCAGCATTGTGCATCCTATCTTGCTAAGTTCCCCTTTCCTTCGCTTCAGCAAGACATCTGCAAAACATGTCTGTATGCAAACGTGCAACACTAGGACATACTAAACTTTGCTGAATGCATTACAGTGGTACCTCGGGTTACATACGCTTCAGGTTACATGCACTTCCGGTTACAGACTCCGCTAACCCAGAAATAGTACCTCGGTTTAAGAACTTTGCTTCAGGATGAGAACAGAAATCGTGCTGCAGCGGCGCGGCGGCAGCAGGAGGCCCCATTAGCTAAAGTGGTGCTTCAGGTTAAGAACAGTTTCAGATTAAGAACGGACCTCCAGAACGAATTAAGTACTTAACCCGAGGTACCACTGTATCTGCATCCAGAACCTCGATTTTATTTGCTACAATAAACCCCTACTATGCAAGCAAAGTTGTTGTGTTTCTCTCACTCATATTGCAAAGTGAATCTCATAACATCCAAACTCAAAACCAACTCAGCTTATTGGCTTTTAAAAACACTTACAAGCAAAAAAATTACACTTTATATTAGGCAGTGAAATGCATGTCTTAACAGAGTAAAGCATATACATTTTATCATTGAATTTAGATCCAGATCCAGTCAAATGGCTGCAAACAGTATATTTTTGGTGATAAAAATGCAGGTTTTCATGAAGTAAACACAATGGTTTGAAAGGAAAAGATGAGTCAACTCCAAGGCTAGGCAAAATATGAATTTTAGGATTAATTTTGTCAACTAACAATTGCATGAATTGAATTCTAACATTGTTATTGCAATCATTTCCCCTCTAGGTCTGAATCTCAGGAATAACAAATAACGATATGAGTCTTGCTAGAAATTCATGCAAATACTTTGTCAATGTGGGGACACTTTTGACTATTTATAAGTCATCACCTTAGCATCTAACCTCCCAGTATTTTCTCTCTCACACTTTTCTTGCCCTTAAGTGACGTGAGACATAAAGGTAAAGGTAAAGGACCCCTGGACAGTTAAGTCCAGTCAAAGGCGACTATGGGGTTGTGGAGCTCATCTTGCTTTCAGCCCAAGAGAGCTGGCGCTTGTCCACAGACAGCTTTCCGAGTCATGTGGCCAGCATTACTAAACCGCTTCTGGTGCAATGGAACACCATGACGGAAATCAGAGCGCACAGAAACGCTGTTTACCTTCCCGCCACAGTGGTACCTATTTATCTACTTGTACTGGCGTGCTTTTGAACTGCTAGGTTGACACGAGCTGGGACAGAGCAATGGGAGCTCACCCCGTCGCAGAATTCGAACCGCCGACCTTCTGATCAGCAAGCCCAAGAGGCTCAATGATTTCAATTACAGCGCCACCTGCATCCCTGTGATGTGAGACATAATGCCTACCAACACTACACTAAAGGTAAAGGTGCCCCTAACCATTAGGTCCAGTCACGGACGACTCTGGGCTTGCGGCGCTCATCTCGCTCTATAGGCCGAGGGAGCTGGCATTTGTCCACAGACAGCTTCCAGGTCATACCAATACCTATTTGTTAAGTTGTGGGTGAACATATCAGACGACACAGCGATTCTTCAAACAGCTCTTGTTTATTCACAGGCCAGGACAGAACTGAACTGAAGGGCTCAGTCAGCCTGCTTATATAGAGCTCCAGTACCACGTTACTGTAACAACTTTCTAAAACTATCCAATCACTGAACGTCACTTTCGACCCTTCATTTGCATAACTATCTACAGTATCCCCCTGCTGGCCCAGGGTGAGAACTTCAGTACATAACACTATTTTTACATGGTGTCTGGGAATCATTGGCTATAACATCACATCAGGAATATGGCAGACCTACTGTTGCCTCAGAGAGCAGGCTGGCTCACTGTCTTTTAAATTCATGGTGACATTATTTTCTGGGAAATCACTGAATGTACAATGCTGACACCAACCCACTATTTCTTTACATTTGTTGTGCAAAATGGCTACCCACAATCAGCTTACAGTTTAAGGATATGCCAAACCATCCCTTTCCCCCTAGTCATCACCTTCACTTTCAACAGATCGGATCCTGTTTTTAGTTAATGTGAAAAATTACTCTAAAACAAAGACTCTTGTATCCTGAGAGTGGGTGGAGCATTTAAAAGGATTTACAAACGTCAAGTTCACTTGCACTTTTTATTTATCAGTGAGTGAAGATTAACGTGTTGTCCTGAAGGATGAACAACGTTTTTCAAACTTATTGTCTGAATAGGATTTTGACTTTGTTGTTATAATTTATCTTCTAAAGGATCTTGTAAGTTGGTTCTCATACAGTTAAGGCACAATGTAAGGTTTTGGAAAAACTGTGTCAGTTTCATTTATTTTCACTGAACAAAAGTAGCTTAGAGGAAAAGAAAACCCACACAAACGATTCATCCCACTTATCTCCCTGCAAACCACTAAGAGGACAGAATATAACCCACAAATTCCTCTTCCCCGCTGCCAAAAAATCACAATGAAAGCCAAGTATTTTATACTGAATAATCAGATAACAGAATCTCTTTGTCCATTTCGATTTTCAAAATGGCAGGGCCCTCAGTGTTTCTATATTCTGTTTTTGGAGTGCCTTTGATGTTCACTTCAAACTGAGAAGTGAAACTCAATCATATTATTGGAATTTCCAAAACTACCTACACAGATGAGACAGATAAGCTGACTCTAAAGCAAAACTCAGTTTTATCTAATAACCCATCCAGGGTTGCTCTACATTTCACTAGTGAACTCGGCCAGGAAAAGGAGTTCTGGGGAGCTATGGGGATGGTCTTACAGAATTTTAAAAGCCACACTTTCCTGCCACTAACAGAATAAACCATTTTCAAAGTCTTTGTCAGCCTTAATATTCCACATTGCAACTTATATTCTATATATTCTGTATTCTTCTTGTCTAAGCAAGGCAGGCTATAATAGTAAGTAGGATAAGAAAGCCCAAATTCTGAAATAACCTTGAAAAGTAGTAAGTGGGACAGATGGTGATGATGATGATGATGATGGCAGCAACTCTCATTCTAGAGGTGCTCATGATGTAAAAGATAAACAGCTTTATGGAAGACCCCACAACCTGCATGATATTCTGATATACAGATTGGAGGGTTTACTGCTGGATCTTACACTTCCGCAAACAAAATGAATCAACCCAATATTCATGAGTTTTTTAAATGTCATGTTGATGGTCCGAGCAAATCCAGGTTTGTTCAGAAGTGATTCTCATCAATTTCAGTGTGGCTCTCCATCAGATAAGTGTACATTAGGATTGTAGCCATAAAATGCAACATTTATCTTTGATGAGCATCATCTGTGCTTAGAGGCAATGCATTTTGGCTTATATATCCTGTTACTATTTTAGTGTTTGATGCACACATGGCTAGATTTTGAATAGAAGAGTATGTAACGTTGATGAAGTGATTTCATAGTGCTTTCCACATTTTTAAAATTAAGCTTTCATTCAGGCCAAAGCCTGCCATTCATTCTACAATCTATAGTGACAGACACCCTCTGTGATTTATGAAGAGCTATAGTGATGAATCAGTTACATTTCTAACCCCCCCCCAAAAAAGTGGAAGAAAACGTAGTTACTAGTGAGTGAGATTCTTCTACTGCATTAAATTCTGAATTACTAGTAAGAAATATGTGCAATGCTGTCTTTAACGGAGAGAGCCCTTATGCTGTATCTTATATAAACATCAGCTTCTTTCTTACTTCTAACGACAGAGAACAGACCTAAATTCTATCTAAATGCCAAGAGGAGGACAATAGGCACAGCTGTATCTACAGTAGAAAAAGAGTGGGACACCTCCCAGGATTCATAATTTTGTAGAAGCGTCTATCAGATTCTGCGACCTTTTAGCCTCTTTCTTTTTCGGTTAATTAAAAGCAGTCCCTGATTAATCAGGCAACACATTTTCTTTTTTTAAAAAAGTCAGTTGTTTTAAATATATCTGCAACAGATTGTGCATGATCTGAGAGCAGCACGTCTCCACCCTTCATAATTTGGTATGCAAAACGTATGTGGATTGAATCAGTGAATTAATCAAAAAGAGATAAGGATAGATGGATTAAATCAGTAAATTAATCAAAAAGCCATAAGGACAGATCGGCTGGAAATTTATTTAAAAACCTTTGTTTAACAGCCTTTGACCAGAGGAATAACGTTAAAGGTTTACTGCGTGTCCACAAAAAAATAGAAGCAAGACCCGCACAGCATCAGCTTCCATTATTCTCTACTGAAGCAAAGAGCGATGGCTTTTTGGTTCTCATCCTTGGGGGCCCCAGCTGTTGTTGGACAACAACTCCCATCACCCCTGATCGTTGATACTGCTTGCTAAGGGTTCATGGGAATTGTAGTCCAACAATAGGTGGGGGGGATCCTAAGTTTGAGAAGCAGAGAAGGCTGGAAACCGACGTGAAGCCGCTTCGCTTTACTGCCGCCAGCACTTGAACACTTCCGCCCACTGGGACCCCCCTTTCCCCTACAGCGCATGCCCAATCCAAAGGGCATCTAGAGAAATAGCTTAAACTTCCGGTACTAAACTGAACGCAGGCATCCGTCATGAACACTCTGTGGGTATTATTAGACACTCTATAAACAACTTCTTTTTCTTCATCATCATCATCATCATCATCACTGCCACAGGCGAAAAGTCTTCCGCTTGCCTGCTATCAAAGAGCAAAGCAGCCCTCCAGCTCGATTGACTACCGCAGTTCTTCGTCGAAAGAGCGACGGGACGGTCCCTTTGGTCCTCACCCTCCTGAGGACGCCTTCACTCTCGCGAGGTTACCACTTCTCCCACCCGGTTCTCCGAGGTTTTCCTTCCCTGCGGCTGGCGTCGGCGGGGGCTGCAGGGCGCATGCTCAGTCCGTGCCGCGAGGCGACATGGCGGCGCCCAGCTCGGAGCGGCCGGGGAGAAGCGGGCGGATCCTGCTGGTGCGGCACCTCCCCGCCTCGCTGACGGCTTCGGAGAAGGAGAGCTTGCTGAGGCACTTCGGGGCCGCTTCCGTGCGGGTCCTGTCCGACCGCGGGAGGCTGGTAGGGAAGGCGCGGCCGGGGCGGGCGGCCGGGGCGTGAAATGCTGCCCTCGGGGGGCTTCTGCCGCCTGAGGCAGCCGCGGTGCCAGAGCCGCCTCTGGCGTTAGGCAGACGGAGGCAGCTGCCTCGGGCGGCAGAAGAAGCTTCTAAGGTTGCAGAACCGGTGCCTAAGCTAAACAAGCTCAGAGGTCAGCAGGGGGCCGGTCCACTGTCCCTCAGACCTTGTGGGGGGCCAGACTATATTGGGGGGGGGGAGAATGAACGAATTCCTGTGCCCCACAAATAACCCAGAGATGGATTTTAAATAAAAGCACACGTTCTACTCATGTAAAAACACCAGGCAGGCCCCACAAATAACCCAGAGATACATTTTAAATAATAGGACACATTCTACTCAGGTAAAAACACGCTGATTCCCAGACCATCCCTGGGCCAGATTTAGAAGGCGATTGGGCAGGATCCAGCCCCCGGGCCTTAGTTTGCCTACCCATGAGCTTAGGGCCCCACTCTCTTGTGCCTCCCCCCTATACTTCTTCTTAATTGTATTTCAATTCAACAATTACGTTGACAAAAGACATATTTTGTTATGTGCAAATGGCTTTAGATACCATAAATTACCATATAGCATATATTCAACGCAAAAAAACAGCGACAATTTGTTGTTGACAAAGGACAGCTGGACATATTAAGGCCCCCATTACCTTCAGTAGCTCAGGGCCTCATCAAACCTAAATCCAGCCCCTGGGCAGAAGCAGTTTCGGCTGGAGCTGCGCATGACCTTGCGAGCATGCCCTGAGACCCCTGGGTATAGGGCGTTATATAAATTCAATTAATGATAACAATAATCTCGCCCGGATTCGCCGCTTCTCTACCAGAATGTGGCAGGTGGAGAACCAGGGGCAGGAAGGTCAGGGCAAGGTGGCGCTTCTTGTTTTGCCTTAAGCCTTGATAGGAATACACCTCCTATGCCACCCAGTGAGGTCCGGCTGGTGTCTTCACCATCCACCTTTAGGCACCAGGCGAAAGCATTCCTCTCCAACAAGGCTTTTGGCTGATTGACATCTGATGCCCTTTTAAAATGTGTTCTGAAAGCGGGGCAGTCGGGGATTATGGGGTTGTTTTTGTTTTTATTGCATGTTTTCTGTTTTGTTTTGTTTTTATATTGTGATCTGTGCCAGATTGGCATATAAGCTAAACAAGCTATAGTTTAGGGCCTCACTGTCTTAGGGGCCCCCAAAAAATGTAAATGAAAAAAACCCCTGGATGTACATTTCCAAAATGTAAGATAAAAAACAAATAAAATAAAACCTACAAACAGCAACAGTGTTGTGTAGGCTCTGATGATGTAAGTAATGGGCCCCACCTGCTCCCTAAAATATCACTGGTTTGCTCATTTCTATATATAGGTGCCTACATTCTGCATGGACTGGTTGCTTGGCAACTTATGCAAATGTCTTTAGATACCTATTAGGTCCATAAATTACCATATAGCATAATTTCATCACAAAAAAGCGACAATTTGTTGTTGAGAAAGGACAGCTGGACATATAAGAGGCCCCATTACCTTCAGTAGCTTAGGTCCTCATAAAACCTAAATCTGGCCCTGATTGTGATGTTAACATTGAGAAGGGCCCTGAAATCTGTGGTTATAGGGCAGCGCACATATTTAATAATTAATAAATAATACTAACACATTTGTTTGTATGTGTGTATGGATAGGTAGATAGATAGATGGATATACATGCACACTTTGACCATTTGTTAACATCTGGCACATGTATTTATTGAATCAAATTATAGACCACTTGCTTTAAAATAATACAGTAATAATAATAATAATCTCAAAGTGTGTGATAAGAGTTAAAACTAAAATGCAATGGCCAGTGTGGCGTTGCACACTAAACCAAATGTTGGGTTAGTGCAGCGGCAGAAAGGACCAGAGAGGAGTAAAGTGTCTGGGAGCTTCTCTTTTGGAGCCTGCTCACAAAGCCAAGTTTCTTCTATTTTCGTGCCTGCTTATATTAAGAGTGCCATGCAAAGCGGCTCAAGATATATCTACAAATGTCTATGAGTAACCTCTACTCAGAATGCAGAGCAGCGTAAAGTGGCAATCAGGTATTTACTGAAAACTAGGAAACTGGTTAAATAGGGGATTCGGAGCTGGTTAGAAAACTGGACTCATTCCACATCTTAGACTCTCTTTCTTGGTGTTCCGGTTTTAACAAGGGGAGGAGAAAGAAAGATGGTTGCCCTTCCTGCTTTGCTTTTAGGTGCAGCCACATTCACGTTTAAAAATTCTGCAATACCTTGGATAATTTGTGTGTTAATGTTCTCTCTGCTTATATTGGAAAATCAATGTTTGGCATGTTCTTTCCCCCACTCAGAAACACACTGCTTTTGCTACTTTTCCGAACGAAAATGCAGCTACTCAGGTGTGTATTTGAGACCATTACAGATCTTCTTTCTTTTATTTCTTTATTTCTTTTCTGCTGTAGTGTTCTATGGCTGTAGGTCAAGATGTTTGCCTTTCAATACAGAAACAAAGTGCTGAAGATAAGTCTAAGGCTGCAGTCTTAACCCTGCTTACCTGGGGAGTAAACCCCATTGATTTCGATGAGATTTATTTCTGAGGATTGGGTTGTAAGGCTGTGGTTGTTTGCATATCTACTTAGAATAAACTCCATTAAGATTGGAGGGAGGACTTGCATTAGAGCATTCATGCCTGGATAAGTTTCCTCCAAAATGCTTTAGATAATTATATGTTTAGGTGTTGTTAGAAAACAGCAAGGACACTTTAGCAAATGAATATTAACTGTTAGCATAAAGGCAACAGTGTATGGTACTGATGACTGTGTGTACATATTAGATGCTAATATTAAAACAGGTCTGCTTAACTTGTAAATGTGCAAATGCAGGCTACCCGCTAAGTGTTCAAGACTGTAGAGCAGGCTTCCTCAACCTCGGCCCTCCAGATATTTTGCGACTACAGTTCCCATCATCCCTGACCACCGGTCCTGCTAGCTAGGGATCATGGCAGTTGTAGGCCAAAAACATCTAGAGGGCCCAGTCTGAGGAAGCCTGCTGTAGAGAAACAGAAAATATATTGAGTTGCTTAGCTTTATATTTTACAGCTCTTTCTGTATTAAGATGACAGACATTCTGTTGTCATCTTAACTTTGCCTCTCCTAACTTCTATCGTCTATCTAACTTAAAAGTGTAAAATCCTTGGAGTAGGAAATTTATAAAAGATATGCATAAGATATTTATAAGTAACTTACATTATCGGAACAGAAGTATAAGTTTCAGTGCCCAGTTCAAGAACTGGCAAGAAAGCAATTAAATCCCATAGTCATTAACAGTGCAATTTTCTGCATGTGTAGCAAGACTTTTCTGCAATGAGAAGTAATTCTCACTGATTTTCAGCATGCCTTTCTCGCTGGTAAGTTGGTATAAAATTGTAGGCAACGTTCGGGACATTATCCATTTTGGTCATTAAGAGGGATTAAATGGAAAGGTATTGCTCTTCCCCCAAACAAACTTTCTATCCGTGTTACTTAGTTTTTAGGCAAAGTAAATTGCAAGAGGGGAGAAGAAAGGAATAAACCGAGAAGTTGATGGGTCAGAGTGCATTTTAAATGTTAGTTGATTTAACTGTATGTTGTGTTCAATTGAAGGCTTTATCGAGATTGCATCAGCTGAACCTTCTAGGCCACACTCTGGTAGTTGAATATGCAAAGGACCAAGACAGTGTTTGTGCACTTAGCCAATCTTCTGAAAGCGAGAAGGACAAAAGGTATGTAGATGCTTCTGTATTTTCAAATTCAGTGGGCTTATAAAATATTTCTAAGATTCTTGAAAGTATTTTCCAAAAACTCCTTCAAACATTGCTGTGGTGGATCCAGGAGGATCCAGGTTGTTTCTTCAGATCCCATTGTATTAATACTGTAGATCTGAAGTGCAAGAAGTAAGTACTAGTGAATACAGTAGGACTTCCAAGTAAGTGGGGTTCGGATTACAGCCTTATTTAGGCTAGGTTCCTGTGGTTACATAGCAGATATGCTTTTCCACTCCATTTTTACTGTGTGACCATCATACTGGGGAGATCTTGACACATTCAAAGATAAATTTTGGTCAGATTGTCTAGGACTGGGACTGGAGAAGTTAGGAGTTCTGACACAAAGACAATTCTGTTTGATTTTTTTTTTCACTGAGCAAACATAGGAAGGGAAGAGAACTGAGCAGAATCAAAAATTCAGATTTTTACATATATGGTTCATCTTATTCACCACCTTTATTGGAATATAAATTACGGCTACCTCACAGAATTCAACAACTGAACAAAATAGATTTGAGTGGGGATTCATATTTATGAGCCAAAATTGGAGTTATGACTTCATAGAAACTGCCATATCTAGTCATTTATATTGTGTTATGTTTACCCCTATTACTATTGTCCTTCATTTGGTATTTTTTTCGAAATAGACGTTGCACAAGTAAAGAATGAACAACAACAAATTTTCTTGGCGACTTTTTTTTAATGCACTTTGTGTCCAAACACAGTGGCGTTCATTTACAGTTAGGGTTATTTCAACATACCGCATAATGTAGTAGATTGCTCTTGTGTGTGTTTTAGCCTTGAAGAACCAGTGAAAGAAGAGAAAGAACAGAAAGATCTAGGCTGCCTCAAGATAGAAAGTGGAATTGCTCCTAGCCATGGGTTAGTACTTGAGTTCTGATTTTGTATACAAAAATTGTTGTTGAATCCTAGCCTTTAAACCATTTGTGAACATGTTTAGGCAAACATATGAGAGACCAGTAATATTTTCTTAGCTTGGTTTCCAAGAATAAATCACATCCTCTCTGTTCCTACAATTATATCACTACCCTTTTCTTAGTACGTTTTTTTTCCTGCTTCTGATTAAAACAGAAGTAGCTAACCTGCAGTTTGTCAGATGCTGTTTACCTTCAACTCCCATTGGCCCCAGTCAGTAAGCAATAGTTCAGAGTCCAGCAACATTGGGAGAACCAATGTTAGATACTTGCATGGATGTGGAACTTTCAGTAGATGTGATAAGCAACAGAGCAGATTTGTGTGCTAAAAAGATTGCCACACTTAGTTTTCTGAGGGCTCCACAAACCTCTGTCTGCAGATATTTGTTGCCTGTCACTATTATTGCATATGGATTGGTATTTAAGAGCTACTACGAGTGTGTAGCAGCTTGCTCACACACATTTTTTCCTACTGTGTATTTGCATTGAGTAAGGGTTAGGCCAGGTGACCTCCCAGTTCTATGATCAACATGCTTTTGAAATTCCCTTTAGTTTCAAATGTCTCCTGTAGTGTTGGGAGCTGCTGTTCAACAAAGAGAAGCATTACAATCCCGTGGTTGGTAAATATTTTTATTAATCCCTGGATATCATGGAATCAGTCTCTCATGTTTCAGAATTGCTGGTATGTGAGCTAGGGGTTTCTTTGTTTGGTGCTTTTAAACTCTAAATATTGAACTCTTCTGCATAGTGAAGCTTTTTTTTTAATAGGTTTGAATTGTTTCTAAGGTTGGTTTGTTTCCCCTCACAGGTTAACTTTCCCTATAAATTCTTGCCTCAAATATCGATACCCCCCGCCTTCCAGTACAATCCTAGCCAACATAGCAAATGCCTTGGCAAGTGTGCCTAAGTTTTATGTGCAGGTAAGTGTAGATCCCCTTCCCCAACCTGAATTCAATACATAAACCTTATACTTATTAGTATGGTATTGCCGAATTGTTATTTTAAGCAGCTGTAAATTACTGACTAGGGCTTATGTCCTGTATCTGCTTCTTTGAAATAAGCTCCATTGATCTCAGTGGGACTTGCTTTTGTATAGGATTCTGCTGTGAATGTTGCATCGCTCCACTCCTATTTGAGTTTGTAGTGGCATCAGTTAATTTGAAAGTGACTGCAAAGGAGCTCACAAAGACTTTCAGTATGAGTTATTGGATCACCTTTAGCAGTAAGAATATTTTTAGTATGTTCTCATAAGCACTGTTTTCAGCCATCAAAGCTATAAGCTATGGTCTGAAGGTACCATGCAGCTACCACCTTGCTCAATATATGCATGTCTATCAGTGCCTGAATGGATTACTTGCTTTGGGATTATATGTGTGCCATCGTGGATTCCATGGCAGAAGTAGGTAGGATATGCATGTTCATTGCAGAATCTAGGGGTGGTATTCAGCTAAGTTTTACTCAGTGTCTTAAATGACAAATCACATGGTTCTTTAAAATTTCTTTCCGACCATTTTTTAAAAACTGCAAACTTCTAGTCCATATTGTTAGATGCTTGGAAGTATGTAACCAGGTTTTCAAATATGTCCAAACTAGTTGATATTGTTTTACTGCCTAGGTCAAGATTTTACACCTTTTCTGTTACAATTGTTGTACAGATATCTCCCTGTATTGCCAAATTATTTTATCTCAGTATCCCATCTCCCTGTGAGAAAAAAGTCCTTAAATAAATCACATTAGGTAGATATATTAAATCTAGTTCTGTCTGGCAAGCACAACTTATTATAACTTGTAGAATTATTCATTTTTTATGGTTCCAGAATTTTATGTCATGTATTCTACTCACTATTGATGCAGAGTAGAACTCCAAAGTATAGTTAGCAGAGTAAAAACTTAAATACATTGCAAGATTCCCAAAAAATAGACCAGAGGCATTTCATCCAGCAGAACTTTACTGCTACCAAAGGCAAATGAGCATAATGGTCTAATCTAATCTAATACATTCAGGATTGGCACTGTCCATAAGAAATCCAGTTGCAGCAGACTTCACTTAAACTTACAATAACTTATAATAAGACTAAACCTTAACACTAAGCATACTATGTACAGAACACCACACCCAGGCTCCTTCTGGCCTCTTATTATAGTCAGCATGACCTTGACAGAAATCGATAAGAGAACCAGGTTAAGCCAGCTGTATGCAGCTTCTCTGAAGGAATAACCCAAACATCATGAACCTTCTGCTTGTTTCTTTCACACAAACAAGCTTCCAGAACCCTCTTGAATTAATTAGAATAGGAAAGAGCTCTACACATCAGATCAATACTTTCTGTACTAAGAAATGCAAAGTGACATTTTAATCTTCAGATGAAACATTTCCTGCCCATTAGCTATGGCAAATATAAAACCATTATAAAATGCGCAACAAGTTTGGTTTATGTGGGATACTTGAACGGTTGTGGCAAGGATAATATTCGTCCCATGACAATTAATGTTTACTCAATTAATGTTTACTCAAGTATTCATCTTGGAGAAGATGCTAAGTTGCTCTGGTTATCTTTCAGGTTTTGCATCTTATGAACAAAATGAATCTTCCCCCTCCCTTTGGGCCAGTTACTCCTCGACCTCCTATGGTACGAAACTGTTATTACTTGAAGCACTGAATAAATGCAACATTGTACAGTGGTACCTCGGGTTACAAACACTTTGGGTTACAGACTCCGCTAACCCAGAAGTAGTACCTCGCGTTAAGAACTTTACCTCAGGATGAGAGCAGAAATCGTGTGTCAGTGGCAATGGGAGGCCCATTAGCTAAAGTGGTACCTCAGGTTAAGAACGGTTTCAGGTTAAGAATGGACCTTTGGAACAAATTAAGTTTGTAACCAGAGGTACCACTGTATTTATAGTTTTAAGATACCCCTTTCTTTAGCATTTTTGGCTAGGATGCAAGTAGGAGTGTGAACCTAGTGGCATTTTTGGCTTTCCCCCCTTGAACAGCTGATTATCATGCCATATCAAACTACTTTTGCAACTCCTCAGTTAGAAGTGTCACTCCATCTTTGGGTCCTGTTCTTCATTATCAGGTGGACCATAAAAGGTGTGCTTTGAAAAATATAATGGGAATTTCCTATCATTACTGAAATATAAGTTCAACATATTGAGTTGTATATTGACTCTTCTCAGAAGAAGAAGAAGAGATGCAATTGATGTAGTCAAACTCTGTACTCGAGATCTGCTAAAGCATATTGCCCATCCCTCACAACAGCTGAATCTGCACTTTACATTGTGGTTGCCCCACGTTCTGTTGGTACAATGGTGGGATAAATTGTACCATAAATATTCTTAACCTTGTTCTTTCCTCAGTCTCCACTCTTGACCTATATTTCCTGGGTGTGCTGCAGGAGTGATGCAGTAGCTATGGCCTTTTGTCCAAACCCTTTCTTATCACTGCCCACAAGAGGGTATGTGATAATCTAATGTCAAAAACTAGACTGTGGTGCAGAACACTTGCTTGTTGAGTACTGTATATATTCTCTCTCTCTCTCTCTCTCTCTCTCTCTCTCACACACACACACACACACACACACACACACTTGCATTTGAACTGTTAACAACTGAAATACCAAAAAGGTTGTACATTTTATTCTTCCTTTAGTATGAAGAGTATATCCCTTTACCCCCTCCCATTCCTCCTCTGCCTCCTGAGGAACCTCCTTTGCCTGAAGAGGAGGACAGTCAGGACTCGAGCAAAGATGAATCTGAGTATGAAAGTGCTGATGAAGAGGAAAAAGAAAGGTTAGTGATATTTTGTAGCCTGCTACTCCCTGCGTAAAAGTTGGTGTCCTTGTTTTTCTCTGCCTGCAAAGAGTTAGTGATATTTTGCAGTCGAAGAAGATGAAGCAGCCGCCACCCACCTGACTGGGTTTCCACAGCCACTCTGGGTGGCTCCCAACAAAATAAAACTGTAAAAGTTAGCAAATAGTTAAACTATGGGATTGGAACCCATAGTTTAGGAATTACCTGTGCCTTAGTAATCAATGTCTCTGTCTCTGTCTCTTTCTCTCTTGAATACATAGCAGTAACATAGAAGCCCACTTTAGTACCAACTAGATTTCTTTTAACAAGCAGTAAATATGTTTTCAACTAATTTTAAACCTTGCTAAAAGTATTTCAAAAGTATATTTTAACCATAATTGAGTATCAAGGTAGGGTTGTTGTTTTGTTTTGTTTTGTTTTGTTTTTTTAAAATACTCTTTTCTTAAAATAGTGCATTTTGTGTGGTGCTTCCGGCAAATAGTTACATCTCGTATCCATTAAATATATATCCCCAAAGCTTTTGGCCTTGCCCTTGAAGACCTATAGAGCATGGAATCAACTGATGTAATTCAAAGAAATGAATAGGTAGGGAAAGCATACCTCAGCCTTAACTTGATAGGGGTTAATTTGGTCTGTAGACCCTGCAAAATTGATCTCAATTTCAGATGCCCCCTTCTTCCCATCCCTTTCTTATAGCAAGTTTAGATCTGAGAAATAGCCTCTTCCCTTCGTGTGTGGTGAGGTTTGAGCTTCAGTGGACTTCATCAGCACATGATCTTTTAGAGAAAGTGAAACCAAAGAAGACAGCTGCTCTGGCTGCTCCTTCTCTTTCATTTACCAGACTCTTCTTAGGGCAGTGGTGTGTGTTTCCCAATCAGTTCTCCCCAGTTCTCCGTCTACCAGGGTTCAGAGTGGAAGAAATGGCAGAGTAGTCAACATCAGCTTGTCTGCAGCAGGCATCTACTAAATAGAGTCTTCTTTTAAAAGCCAAGCTCTAAAACCCTGAGGGTGGGAGGTTTGTTTAATTGATAGGTTTAACTATCCCCCCCATATTTTCTGTGGAAATACCTTTTTTCCAATAAAGTATTCAATATGTTAATAATTCAGATTTACAAAGCTGATGGAATTGGCAACCCTCCAACCCAAACGACGGATCCCAACAAAGCCGCACCGTACGAGAAAAAGGAGAAAGATCAAAGACTTATTAAATGTCTCCCAGCTTGCTTCCCACAGGTATGGATATATGAGTATTGAATGTGGATCATTGCTATGTAAGGAGTACATAGATATCTTGAGAAATTACCTGACTGAACTGTCAGAAATATTCAGCAAGTAAAAATATAGATTGTCCAGCGGTGTGATTGTATATAGCACTATATTGTAAGAAAAAAACAGTATTACCAGAATATTGCTTGCTACTCTTACCTGTAACGTGCTTAGCAACCCTTTTTGCAATCCCTTTAAAGAAATGTAAAATCATTAAGGAGTAAACAATTCTGTGCATAATCTTTCTTGTAAAGAAGCTTTAAACGAAGTTTTATGATGTCTTTTTGAACAGCAATTTGCACCCAGCCTTGTCGCCTTCGGATGTGTTTGAGCAGCCACACCCTGTAGGTCTCAAAAAAATTGAATTTCACATATCTTCAGAGAGCCCTGGCATTCTTCAGAAAAGCTTGGCGGAGCAGCATAACAATGGTATGCTGTGTGTGTCAACTAAAACGTGTTTATATGTACATGGATTGTAGCACATTATCTTGTATTTAATTTGGTTGAGGTCACTTGTGTCTCAGGATCATGTCCCAACTAAACCTTCTCTGTGTTTAATTGTCTTAGACATCTATGCAGCCATTGATGAAATATCTGGTGAAGGGTTTGGAAAAATCTTACCTGCTCTCCGTTCCAGTCATAAAGAAGAGACAGAAGAGGAAGAAGAAGACGACGAAATACCTTCGGAATTTGTTTCTAAAAGAGAGCTAGAAAAAGGCAGAGTCTCCCATAAAGGTGATTTTATTACCATTAATGTATTTTTATGACACGCAATGAGGATGTTGCTTTATTTAAATGTGATGAGCTTGTTTGGCTATATTGCTTAGTTGATTTGGGTTTTTTCACATCAAATATACATTCTGTTGAGAATCAGTTTTAATTATTTAATTAAGCCTATTTTCTAGAACGGAGATTACAGCTGTATATTTTTCTTCCTGTGCTCAAGAAATGGAAACTCTTGCTGTCTTCAGAAATTATGAGCCTGGTGAGCCAAATTGTAGAATTTACGTGAAGAATCTGTCTAAACAAGTTCAAGAAAGGGTAAGTGGGAATTGAGCAGAAAGTGTTTGGTTCCTTCTGCAGAAGTAGCTAACTCTTCCTGCTCTGCTTTTATTTAAATCCCAGGATTTGAAGTTTATCTTTGGAAGATACGTTGACTTTTCATCAGAAACTGAACGTATAATGTAAGTGATGGCTGGGTGACTTCTTCCGTAGGTTGAGCCGCTCTTGACTTGGTGAGCCAAATGATATATCCATGAACTTGTATGTTTCCACCTATTTTCCAGTAGAGGAGTCCAGCACCCTTTTTAATGAAAGACTATAGTGAGGATCATAGAGGATAATGAAACATTAGGATTGAGAGCAGCAGGGTGGGCATGGGGAGGGCCTATACTACTTGTGACAATAGAGAGAGAAGAAGCCACTGGGGTGTAGAAGGAGAGAGTCAAGTCAGAGAAATGTGGCTGAGAAAGTGAGATTGTGGGAAGGGATAAATTGTGCAGTGGAAAAAAATAGGGCATGGAGAAAGGAATTAGGAGAATTGGGAAGATAGCTAAGGATGTTGCAAAGGAGGGGTGTGGGAAAGAGAGTAGACTTGTACCAAGTGAGGATGCTGTTCTTTTAAGAGAACTGTAATTCTATTACAGAATGTTGTTCTAGTAACAGAACTGCAATTTTATTCCATGGGTGCCACAGCTTGGGAAGCTGAAATGTATAGTGATGTATCAGAAGATACCTGTTTTGTCAGAATCGTGCAAGAACTTGAGCAGGCTGTTTGTACAGCAGGACTCTTCTGTAGTCCTATTGACTGTTTCTATATGAACCGTGAGAACTACTGAAACAAATCATGTCTCCTTCCTTCATCTGTCGCAATATGTACTGGGCAGCTGAAGCATTTACGTCTTGCAATTTATCCTAGGTTCGATATACGCTTAATGAAAGAAGGCCGTATGAAAGGACAAGCATTTGTTGGGCTTCCCAATGAAGGAGCAGCTGCAAAAGCTTTGAAAGAAGTCAATGGATATGTTTTATTTGACAAGCCTATGGTGGTCGTATCCTTTTCTTAAAATAAAGAAAAGCTTTCCGTTTCATTTTCAGTTAAATATTGGGCCTGCTTTTAGAATCTTGCTTTTGGTAGGAAGGTTTCTTTGCAAATTATTTGTCCCCATTTAAATTGTAGGCATACAGAAGACATGGTTGTTGCAGCGCAGGTTAGAGGGAGGGGAGCGAACCAGCTAGCAGAGTCCTTCACTCATTTGCCCTTTTCCTGTGTTCCTCAGTCCTCTCCACTGCCACCAAAGGAATACACTTATTTTCCTGGCTGCCTTCGCTAAAACAGCCCTCAAACGTTTGTCTCCTACGTAGTTCTCTGCAGCCAGCTTCTTGTACTTAGTTGAGTGGAACCCAGTGAAGTCATGGAGTGAAAATCAAGGCCAGGCACAGGCAAACTCTGCCCGTCCAGATGTTTGGGACTACAATTTCCATCATCCCCAGCTAACAGGACCAGTGGTCAGGGATGATGGGAATTGTAGCCCCAAACATCTGGAGGGTCAGAGTTTGCATACGCCTGATCAAGGCAATCAAACCATCCACAAATTTTGTTTTTTGCTTTTAAAAAATGGAAAACCAGTTATTAAAACAGTTACTGGCCCATTTTGCACATGACAGTGAGCCAGGGCTGGTGAACCTGTTGGACTCCCAACGCACATCAGCCTCAGCCAACATGGCCAGTGGTCAGGAATGATGGGAGTCACAGTCCAGAAATAGCTGGAGGGGCCACAGCTCCCACCTCCGTAGTAAGCCATAGTCAGAAATAAACCATAGCTTATCATGAACAAAAGTGTACTAGTGCATGCTGCTCATTGTCTCCTGCTTCACATACACCCCTCCAACTCCACCCACCACTCCAGTCTCTTCTCCATTCCTCTTTCCGGCTCCACAATGTCTTGGTTCTGGTTGCATCAACACAGCAACAATTATTTTAACATACATCTTTCTCTGCAGCACTAAGAAGGCAAAGTGAGGTAGATTTTTCTCCCATCTCCAGCTGAGGTGGTCTAACAAGCTTTTTTAGTTTTAATAAATAGAGATTAAGAAGTATCGTAATTTTGTGATGCTTTTGTGTCCCATAGTCTTTGTTTCTTGTATCCCCCCCCCCACCGCTTATAAATTGTTCTTGTTAACGCTTGCCATCAAGACTTTTATTCCTTAATAAAACCAAGCAATTTGCTCGATCTGCGAGACCAAAGCCGGATCCCAAAGAGGAAAGGAGAAAAGAGAAGGGGAGAAGACCCTGAAGGTAAGTAATCTCCCTTGTATTCCATTTTGCCCTCCTAACTTAAAACAATGCAAAACACAGAGAGCATGACTGCATTGCATCTGAACTGGTAAACCTGACTTAGACTTGACTTAGAAAACTAGGTGGTGAGATGCGTTCCCTACTAGCCTCCTTCCTGATGCGCCAGCTTTCGATGTGCAACAGGAATCTCCTTGTGTGAGCAACGTTCCATCAATGTGTCATCGAATTGGTACAATCCAGACACAGGTTTGCTTTCCAGTGACAAACAGGCCTTGACCACAAACAGGAGCTGGTTTAAGAAAAGACTTCTAACTTCTGCTTGATCAACACAGCAGCACGTTTTTTCTTTCTGGCTGAGAATTTTTTAAATAAATATAACTTTTTGCATTCATTGTGTCATCAGTTATAGAATGTCAGAGTGCAAACGAATTTGGCCTTTGGGCTCCTCTTCCACTGTTCTCCTAGAACTGTGAGGTCTCTGGCCCTTGATCTAAGATCAAGTTGTATGGCTGCTACAATCGCTTTGTTATCATTTATGATACTGCATGTTTTATGTTTGTAAACTGCCCCTAGGATTTTGTTTCTTGAAGATGCAATAACTAACAGCAGGTGGCCCTAGACGCAGATGCACATTCATTTTTAAAAAAGACACATCTAGCCAGTCGAGTATGCTTGTAGTATTGCAAATGACCATCTGGAAGCAAATCGGAGCGTTGGTTTTGAGTGTTTTCATCCATAGTTTCCAGTAATCACAACGTTCGTTTTTGTTTACCAGCCTGAATTGCTGATGGTCATAGACGGGGGGCCTAGCAAATTGCAGGTTGAGCATGCTGCTGAAGTTTGACCTTTATAAATAAAATTGCATTCTGTTGTGTTACTGGCTTCCATAACCTTGTATCCTTTGCTAAAATGATTGTATAATTTCCATCAGTTGTTTGGCAAAAATAGCTACAGATGAAAATAATGTATCCATTGTATTGCAGTGTCTTTTTAAAGATGGATATTTCTTATTGCTACGGTCCTGTAGCTTTGGTAGCCAGTCAGAAATTGTGCTTGCCTTCCTCCTCCTGAAGGGGGAGGGACAGATTTTCAACTCTGACTTTCTTTGCCTCTGCATAACAGCAGAGGCAAGTTTCTGTCTCCTTCCAAGTTTGTCTCTCTCCAAGGATCAGTGCAAGATTGGGGGAATTCCTCTTTTTCTCTCCTCCCCTGATCTCACCAGAATAGCAAATGTGCAGCACAGTGCCATAAGCAGGAGATAGGCTCCACTGAAGGAATACAAATGTTACAAAAACCACTCTTTCCCGATTGGTTTTTATGCTTAAAAAAAGAGCAAAAGTAGCAGACAAAAGTTGTCTCATGATAAGTGGCCTCCTGATGCATCATTTCCCAGAAAATATTTTTAACAGATATATTTGTTATGGCTGGGTAGCCAGCAGAATTGTAGCGGGACCATGCTAATACATTCTAGAGCTGGCTAACTTCTAGCAAAAACTACATTGGAGACAGAAATGCTTAGCTTTTGAACATGGCAAAAAGCCAGAATTCTGGTGCATATTCTGGCATTGTACTGATCAAATAGTTAATACTATATTCTTTGTATTGGATTCAGAGCTGTTCTCCCGAGTTCCTGGTGCATTTGGTCTGAAGATTTAAAAATTGACCACTGTTTTAAAATAGGTAGTCTAAAGAACGAAAGCTGTAACAGAGAATAAAAGGATTAAACCGCATTCTGCTGTTCTTCTTTAGAAACATTCCTGCCTAAATACTGCAGTAATACTGTGTCATGCAAAGTGTATCCTTTCTTGCTGTATCCTTTTTTTGTATATATACATCTTTTTTTTTCTAGTAAAAGGTTTTGGTGTTCTCTTAGCATTGCGCTAGGTGGTCATCTAGCAAATCTCTAGTAATAGTTTGTTATTTTACTAAACATAGCCCCTGTTTGTTAACTTACCAGGGTACCCATGGAAGTTTATAGCCTTAAAATGTACTTTTAAAAAATTCCTCATATTAACAGTAGCGCAATTTTGGGCTGCCAGGCCTTCAGCAAGTGTAAACCTCTCTGCTTACGTTGGTAGAGTTTTAAATGCTGTTTACCAACTGAAGATCTGGCCTCAACTCTATATTTTTAACCGTCTTCCAATCTCATGGTGTCCAGAGGAAAACAGCAACACCTCCATAGCAAATACAGTATGCATCTTTAGCTGCTTTTTTGTAATCCTCCTTACTGGATAGAGAGCAGCAAGTGAAGCAGTATAAATGGAGCAAACTAAATTATCTTCTGCTTAGTCTTTCTTGCTGCTTTCTAATTTGTTCTCAGGCTAGCACATTACAGTAAAATACAGCTGTTCCAGAGACAGTTTTAGCCTTGGATCCCTTAGAACTCAAAACCACAGCCCTGCAAAAGGAAATGCTCTTTCCATTTACAAGAGGGGTCTGCATGGGTCCCATCCTGATGGGATGTTGCTAACTTTTTTCCTGCAGCCATCCCCTATTGCATTCCATACTCTTGCTAATGGTCCCCCAAATCCCTGGAACAGCTTTTGCTGGCCGTAGGGTGTTTTTGAGGGAAGACGGATTTGGTAAAAATTCCCTCCCTCTTTGCCCATAGCAGGAGCAGACTTTTGCTCACAAGCTCTCCACCTTAGTTTTTCTTATTATCCAAACTTTTCAGTCTTCTACTTTAGAAATGTGTGTTTTCAATGCACCTTTAAATCGTTCCAGGTTCGTTTTGAGTTCCCTGTCTTTCAAGCTCTGGGAAGAAGATGCACGGTCGGCCGAACTATTCAACAGTGCGTAAAAGCATTTAACATGTTTTTAAAACACGACACAAATGTTCTGCTAACCTTAGGTCTGTTGTGTGCTTTTAAACAATGGAAGACCTTGCAGCAAGTCACATAGTGGATGTGGAAAATGTTTCAATTAAAGATCTAATAAATTATTCACTTTTGCATTGTTTCTGTGTTCTTTTTTTCTTTGCCAAAGCATTCATTTTTTTTCACACAACCAATGACATTCAACCACCATACCACAACCCTGTTTTCAGCACAAAAGCATATTCTCCTGTTCTGTCACTTCACTTCCCTAAGATACTTGAATACCTGTGCAGATTGGAAGCTGAGACCCTGAGGCTCGGAGTAGAAAATGCCCCATATTCATTCTTAAAATGGAAGAGGAAGGTTCCTGTCAGCACTTGACCTACTTCAGGAATGCAATATTAAAGTGCAGCTGGAATTAAGTTAGGGTGGGACAGACTTGTCCATCCCTATTTCCACATGGATGTTTCAAGGTAGGAAGGAGGGAATAGCTCAGTAGGGCACAGGACTCTTAATCTCAGGGGGTTAGACTGCAGGGGGGTTAGACTAGATGACCCTTGTGGTCCCTTCCAACTTTACAATTCTACGTAGATTATTTAGGCTAATGCTGGAGAAATCTTAAGGAAACTGCTCTAAAGCATCTTGCAAGGTGGAGGGAAGGCCACTTTCCCTTCTTGTTTTAACACACTCTGCAGCTATTCCAAGCATATTTACACTGTATCGCCTCTGCCACACCCTTAAAAAATTATTTTCAAAATTGTGCAATTGTATGTCCAAAGGGCCAGATTATTATTTTTAAAAAATGGCTGCATCCATGTTGTATCTGTGAGGATAGCTCTCTTTTTGTCCATACAGTGTGGTTTTGTACATAGTTACACAAATATTTTTACCCAGTAGGGTGGTGGTGCTGAGCTTTGAAGCTGCCCAAGCAAAAGGAAGAGGCAACAACGTGGTCCCATCTCCAAAGTGCAACGATTGAATCAGTCCTTGAGTTGTACGTTCCGTTCCAAAGATTGGGATCAATGGGATGAAGGAGGGAGAATTATGCTAAATGGTATTTTACGATCACAGTGTTTGGAGCACAGACGAAACGCCACAGTGCTTCTGCAGCAGCACAACCAGACACCTTCATCTGCCCTAGTTGCAACAAAACATGTCTCTCCCATATCCGGTCTCTACAGCCACAGCAGGTGCTGTAACTCCCCAACGCTTCGACCACCCCTGAAGGCTCACTCTTCCATTGTCTTCCGACGCAGAGGGATGCCAATGTTCCATTCCAAAGATTGCTTCAGTGGGATGAAGGAAGGTCGCATTACATCAAAATTGGAGGCCAAGCCAAAATCCTCTAACTTTCCTATATTAAGCACAGGATCTCTCTAAATGGCTTCCATGTCATTAGGTATGACAGCGGTCCTGTTCCTTGGGCACCGAAAAGTAATGAGCGATAACAGGAGGATGATGAATGTTCTTACTAGAGCTGAAGGCTGCATTTGTGTCTCAATAGTCATTTCCCAACACTAGGCTGATACCTGCACCTAAATTCAAAAACCCATTCCTGGATTTTCATTACAAACTCGCCAAGACCATTTTTTTTATTATTATTCAACAAAAAGCTGAAACGTGCTACTAAAACGAAACAAAAAACAATGCCACTTGCTATGTTGTCGCTCCTGTCTTTAAAAAGTAGCTCGCAAATATCTCGGTAGAGCAGGAGGCTCTTAACCTGAGGGTTGTGGGTTTGAGCCCCATGTTGCAGAGGGGTGGATTAGATGACCCTCGTGGTCCCTTCCAACTCATATAATTCCAAAGGAAATAAACAACTATCTGACTTTTAGAAGACCTCTGAAGGCAACCCTTTTTAGGGAAGTTTTTAATGTTTGATGTTTTATTGTGTTTTAAATATTTTGTTGGGAGCCGCCCAGAGTGACTGGGGAAGCCGAGCCAGATGGGCGGGGTATAAATAATATATTATTATTATAACTACACTGGTACCTCAGGTTAAGAACTTAATTCGTTCTGGAGGTCCATTCTTAACCTGTTCTTAACCTGAAGCACCACTTTAGCTAATGGGGCCTCCCGCTGCTGCCGTGCGATTTCTGTTCTCATCCTGAAGCAAAGTTCTTAACCCGAGGTACTATTTCTGGGTTAGTGGAGTCTGTAACCTGAAGCGTCTGTAACCCGAGCTACCACTGTATACAACCCTATGATTCCGATACCAGGCAGAAAGGAGCACCTTGCGGTGAAAATTAAAAGCATGAACGCTAGAGGGCAGCATCCAAGTGTTTATGCAACCAGGCATGAGAATTTTGCCCAAGACTTGAGTGAAAGACAACCTGAGCCACACAAGCCGGTTGCAGAGGCGGGACGTCGTTTGCTCCCTTTCCAATGATTGGCTGCCGTCCCCTCTACTCTGAGCCGTGCATTGCAAAGGTGGGAGCCCTTAGGGGAGCTGCGAGGGGAGCCGTGCCTCGTATTAAGCCTCCGAGCGCGTAGGTATGCGACCTGCAATGCATTCAATGGGATTCTTCTCTGCTAATCCGGGGAGGGAGGGTGCCTGCAGGAAAACGCCAGATAAAACCCTTTCCTTCTCGGGAAAGGTTGCACCAGTCGAAAAGTGACGCAGCAATTGAGATTGTTGCAGGAATATTTTTTTAAAAAATCCCATTCTTGGCAGCCCTACTTTTAGGTTCCGTGCTCCTAAAAATCCAGATTAAAAACAAAACGAGAGTTTTAGTGTGATTGTTTATGGGCCCCTGAAATTTAGTGCGAATAGGATTCACCGAAGTCCTCTGAGAATGGCTGCATTCGTTAATTCCTGCATTGCAGGGGGTTGGACTGGATGCCCCTGGCGGTTTCCTCCAAACTACAGTTCTGTGATTCTGTTCGAACCATAATGCAACTTTCATGGATTTTGTAGAGCCTATTCCTAACTAGGCATGCACCAGGGATTGCTACCAGATTTGCAAAGGGTTCAGCAGGGGGAGTCCCAGATTTTTTCATGAAGCACTGGCCCAGTGAGGCTTGATGATGATAGAGATGGGTCAGGCAGCTCTGTCCATATATTTCTCGGCTTATTCCAAGAAAGTATAACCAGACCCAGATATACTAGCTGCTTCTTCCTTACTTTCCAGCAAATACAAAAATAAAAGCCAAACCATGTGTAATTTAGAAGTTTTGAATCTCACAGATTTTGCTGGCCTGCAACTCCCATGGTTTCTTAGCATTGCCCATGTTGGCAGGGGCTGATGGGACTTGGAGTCCTATTTGGAGAGCATCAGTTCACCATCCCTGATCTAGAAGAAAATCCTGTATATCCTGCCTGCTTTCTATGGCTACTGGCAGCTCTGGAAGGGTAGGGCATTTGCATTGCAGTAATGTTATTTCCACCTCCTCTCAAGTCTTATATCCTCCCCTCCAAAATGGATGCATTTGGTATGGAGACAGAGACATCTTCCTGTTTGTCTAATGGTGACATATATATATAAGATATACTAGCACTCCATTGCAAATTCTGCCAAGTACCAGGCGGCCTGGGAACTAACTGTGTGCATGTACAGTGGTACCTCAGGTTAAGAACTTAATTCGTTCTGGAGGTCTGTTCTTAACCTGAAACTGTTCTTAACCTGAAGCACCACTTTAGCTAATGGGGCCTCCTGCTGCTGCCTCGCCACTGGAGCACGATTTCTGTTCTCATCCTGAAACAAAGTTCTTAACCCGAGGTAATATTTCTGGGTTAGCGGAGTCTGTAACCTGAAGCGTATGTAACCCGAGGCACCACTGTAATTCCGATATATTTGGACCTTGAAGCATCCCTAACTTTGCATAATGAGTGCCCATTGCAGCAAGGTGGGATTAGCGAGCTATCAGCATTTTTCACAGCCATTTGGGGATGCAGGCTGCTGGCTTGCCTAACATAGTTCCGGCCACAGTTGATGGCCCTGTGTTAATGTCTCCAGCACCCTTCACTTTAAGTGGGACTAAGCAGGTACAGTAATCTCAACTAAAGCATCCCTGACAGATGGTCATCCGAACTCTGCTTGGAAACCTCCAAGGAAGGAGCGTCTATGAGTGGATAGACAAGCTAATATCATTTGTAGAGGCCAGTAAGTTTCTTGGGTTTGTTTGCAAGGCTCTCTCCAAAAGTCACTTCTGATGCACAAATAGCCTGAAATGTACTCTCTTAAATAATAATATCCTCATTCCGCATAATTCAGCAAACGGGTTCTATTTTTCCCATGGGAAAGCAGGCAAAGCATCCTAATCTTACAGTAAATTAATTCCTCCGCTATGCTGGCTCACATTTAGTGAGAGCTGAGCTCATTAAACAGTTCATGGGCGGCTGTTTTGTCTCTATTCAGCCGGGTCTGCCGCCATTCCCAAACTCGATTTCCATATTGAAATGGGGCAGTATCAGTTTTGCTCGTTCCAAGCAGTTGTGCTTCTAGCTGCGGCTGCAAAATGCGGCGACAGCTGGTGGCAACTGCGTCTGGCAGACCTGCACATTGTCGACTGCGCAGCGAAGCAGGTTCCAAAAGAGCACATTGGCACACAGAAGTTCGTTCTTTCTCCTTTGTAGCTGAAGCAACAGCAAGGAGATTGCTCTGCAAAAATAAAGTGCAGTGTAAGAATTATCATTTTTTCTCCCCTTCCAACTAAGGGACATACATGTGCAGAGAGAGATTTCTGGGTGTGCATCTGTGGCTGAATGGGAGACACGAAATGCAGTAAGCGTTCCTGTGCATGCATTTCCAGTTCTGGAAAACTGGTATCCCACTGACTAGTTGTTTGGAACAGAGAAATGGATTCTGTTCTCTTCCCCGCCAAACAGCTGATTGGTGGGTGTTCAATGCTTTTTAAAAAAAATGTATTTTGGAAGTCTCTCCTTGCATTCTGCTGGGTTGGAATCTTGGTGTTCAGAAATGCAGGCTCCTCCTTTCAGTCCCTCTGATTGGCTCAGGCATGGATTCAGAGTCATCAGAGCCTGCCCGCCACTCGATCCATGTGGTTCTGAGAAATTCTGCCCATCAGTCTCAGGATGCCATTGAAGAGCAAAACCTTTTGCAGCCCCTGACTGTAGGTGAGGCAGCCCTTCTTCCAACCACTTGCACAGTCAGAAATTGGCCACCTTCTCTCTTCCTATAAATAAAAATAATAAAATAATAATAATAATTATCCATATGAGGATGAATGGAGGAGCGCCTCAGTTTCCTTGCAGTTTATGTGAGTGGGAATAATATTTCCATAGCCTAGAACATAGAATAATAGAATTGTAAAGTTGGAAGGGACCACGCGAGGCATCAAGTCCAACCCCCTGTGTTTCAGAGTTGCGGGGTGTGGGGGGGAGGTGAATCTTCATGCCCTTGCTGCCTAAAAGTCACTGTTGCAAAATCCGCTTCCTGGCAGCTTACTATGAATGCTGGAGTGCAAGCAACCTCGGCCTGCGTTGCGAGGAGTGACTTGGCTGCATTTGGTGAAAAGACTGCACACACTTTTCCCCGAGGTATTTCAACCAATTTGTATGCTTTCCAATCTACAGAGGTGATATGCGGTAGGGTGGGATCATTTGAAAGGTTTCTTGAGCAACATAGAGTAATAGAATCATAGAGTTGGAAGTGACCCTGAGAATCATCTAGTCCATGGGTAGGCAAACTAAGGCTCGGGGCTGGGATCCGGCCCAATCACTTTCTAAATCCGGCCCGCAGACAACCTGGGAATCAGCATGTTTTTACATGAGTAGAATGTGTCCTGCTGAAAAAGTTTGCTGGCCCCTGATCTAGTCAGCCCCCCTGCAATGCAGAACTATGAAAGTGTCCTGTACGGGCATCGAACCTGCAACCTCGGCATTATCAGCACCACACTGTAACCAGCTGAGCTACCCAGGCACATGGAATAGAGCGTGAAATGGGACCGACTTCTTCCCACTGCTTACATTTAGAAAATTGTGTTTTTAAGGCTGTTTTAAGCATGTATATTATTGTAAGACAAAGGGAAGGGAAAGGTTACAGCCTGATCTGTTGGTACAGGGCAGAGTGATGAATATAACAAAAGACCTTTTCAGTCTTTGGGTACATAGCAGAGGTTGGTGAGCCTGTAGCCCTTCAGCTGGACTAGTCGCCTTCCCAGTTGGTAGTAACCTGCCCAGTGGGTCTGTGGCACCATTCACATAACAAAAGCTACCATGGAAATGTAACTTTTTCTTCTTCTTTCTAAAGTAGGGGGCCCATAGCTTGGCTTTTGAAAAACAAGGGGTCTAACTGGGGACTTAGCTAACTGGGGACCACTGCACTAGAGGGCATGACTCTTTTTTTGGAAGAGTCAACAACAACAACAATTTTATTTACCGTATATCCCACCCATCTGGTTGGGTTGCCACCCACTCTGGGCGGCTTCCAGCACATATAAAAACATGATAGAACACCAAACATACTATAAGATTCAAATCCCAGACTGACCCTGTTTAGGGAGATGCCTTTGCTTATACAGTGGTACCTTGGGTTAAGAACTTAATTCGTTCTGGAGGTCCGTTCTTAACCTGAAACTGTTCTTAACCAGAAGCACCACTTTAGCTAATGGGGCCTCCTGCTGCTGCCGCGCTGCCGGAGCACAATTTCTCTTCTCATCCTGAAGCAAAGTTCTTAACCCGAGGTACTATTTCTAGGTTAGCGGAGTCTGTAACCTGAAGCGGTCTGTAACCTGAAGCGTATGTAACCCAAGGTACCACTGTACTATTATATATGTGGGAATTAGCCAAGGGGCTTGCTTAGTATGAGGCATAGTGGGGATTTCTGATACAAACAGAATCTGGACCTTTGCCTGATCATACAAGGCAATCAGTTTGTTTTTATAGGCTTAGGTGTTCTCCCCGCCCGCCCCCCAAAGAAAATACCTCAGTGAAAGGCTTGTCTGCTACAGAACTGTGCCACAGATAGAGCTGGTGTGTGTAGTGCTTAGAGCTCTGAGTTACTAATGCAAGCTGAACTCATAATTTGGTCCCTTCCCTCCCTTATGGTTAGCTGGCATAGATAGCCAGTACCTGCAGTGAGGTGGTGATGGTGCCACTTTTGTCACTGCTGTTGTATAAACCAGCAGGCTTTGAAAATCAAGGAGGGGAAGATTTAAGCCCCTACTCATGCCATGGCTCTACAGTTTGACTTCTGATGGAAAAATCCAAGAAAAAAGCAGAATTATCTTTTAATGAACATTTCTGCTAAATAGATCCGGGATCCTAAATGGAACACCAAAAGTGGAAAGAAAAGATGTTCCCCATCATCGTAGTTTGTAATCTCAGCCTTCAGCAGTCACATCTGTCAATTCTCCAATTTGTTTTGTTGCCAGAGTAACTAAGGTATTCTAATGCCAACTTGCACGGTGTTACATCTGGGCTTTCTAACAGCTCGAGGTTTTTTGTTGTTGTTTTTTAAAAAAATTGGTTTAAAATTTAAAATGTTAAATCCAGTTTGAAGTGTTGCTAACGTGCTGAGAGCTTTGCAAAGAGCTCTCGTTGGGTCTGGCAGCTGGGGTTGGGCAAAGCTTTAACTGGAATTCGTTTGACAAGTTCTTTTCTTTGATTAAGCAAGCTCAGTTAGGGGAAATGAAGCTGTGCTATTCAATATCACCTAGGGAACTTTGGCAAAAGTGAATGCTTAAAACATAGGTCAGATCATTGGATCAGGAATCGGGGAGGATTGAATGCAGGTGCCCACATGCACGCCACCTCAATATAGCAGCGTTGTGCCCTTTCCAGTTTGATACGATGCCTGAGCAATGTGATGGATTTATATTTATTATGATTTAATGTTTTTAAACGAGTCACATTCCTGTGCCGAAAAAGCAGTGCCTGCAGCAACATGCAAAACCATTCTCTCTCTCGGGGTTCAGTGTGAGATAATAACATATTCAAAACTGATAGCTCAAATACAGAATTTAAAACGAGGATCTTTGCAACAGCAAATTTAAGCCAGGTGAAACTCTCATCTCATGCCCTGGCCTGAGACAAAATTCAGGATTTCTAAAATCATTATTCTGAAGAAACATGAGCTAGGGTGGGTATTGCACATGGGTTTTTGCCCTTCTGTGGTTGACAGAACTTCCCTTATTCTAGACTCCTAAGTTCATGAATGCTGAGGTGAATGCACACTCTCCATGCTTCAATTTGGTATGGCCACACGCATGACCCTAATCCTGATTTTATCTGTGTTTATCACAGTCTCTGTGTGTGTTTGCATACCCTCCAGCATTTCTCCACTGACAACAGTGATGTCCTATTCCATAATAATATTACTTTTATTATTTATACTTCACCCATCTGAGTGGGTTGCCCCAGCATATATAGAAACATAATAAAACGTTAAAAAAACTTCCCTATACAGGGCTGCCTTCAGATGTCTTCTAAAGGTTGCATAGTTATTTATCTCCTTAGCTCAGGGGTCGCATAACTCCATACCCTCCGACATTTCTCCGATGAAAATAGTGACAATAGCAGGACATTCCAGGATCAAATCAGAAACCGGGACGGCTTCTGTAAATCCAGAACTGTCCCTGGAAAATAAGGACACTTGGAAGGTCTGTGATTGGGACTGAATGCAGAGACTCACCATAGATTTCTAAACTTGTCCAACATGTTGACCACATTAAACCAACAAGCACTGTCTCTTTCACGCCACTGACATTTATATTATTGGTAGCAGCCTGTGCCACAGATTCCCCACAGTTGTCTGTGCTTTAAAACTACATGCTACAGATAAGGTGGAGTGTCGGGGTGCAATTGTTAAACTGTGCTTTGCTCTGCCTTCAGAAGTGCAGAAGGCTGTTGAGAAGGATGTCGCCGAGTGTCAAGGACAACATGAAGAACCTGTTTCTTCTTCTCCTGGCGGCCTTTGGACTTTGCTGGACCCAATACAAGACCAATCCGAAGCCTGTAAGGACATCTATTGTCCACCTCTTTGAGTGGCGCTGGATTGACATTGCTCTTGAATGTGAACGTTACTTAGCCCCAAATGGATTTGCAGGTGTCCAGGTTAGTACTCTCTCTTGTTTGCTGAAGGCAAAATAACTATCTGGTAGATTCTGGATGAGTTTCTACCATCCAGTTCATAGCACCCAGTTAATACACTCATAGTCTTCTCACCATGCATATATGAGATGGATGGTCCACTGATAAACCCACGTTTGTCTGGGCCTCACCTCGCAAAGAATATTGTGGAGCTGGAAAAGGTTGAGGAAAATGGCGTCTCATATGGCTACTGTGCTGGAGTTTCTTCGCTTAGAACAAAGGAGGATGTGACAGAGCTAGATAAAATGATGCCTGATTTGGAGAAAATGAATAGGGAGAAGGTTATCTCTTCTATCGTAATAATAGAACTTGCAGCTATCCAATGAATGTTAGAAATACTAGAATCTGGGGCCATGTTTGAAGGTTCAGGTCAGACAAAAGACCGTCTTTCTTCACATAACATGTAGTGTGTAGTTTGACAAATTCATGCCTATGAAGGTTATCTTCTACCTCCACTGTTGGATTTAATGTAATATTTTTCTTCCCCCTTAAAGAGGGGAAGAATCACACAAATTGGTCTTCTCCGCCTATAGACCAAGTCATGGAGTGACTGACTTACACAATACCTAAATATGCCTAATGGGGAGGAGTTTATTTGCCTGCTCTGTCCACTATAAAGCAACAATTCCCAGCAGGTGAATTGTGTGAACTTGCCCTCAGTTTACCAGAATACCATTTATTGAGGATTTGCACTAGGTTAAATATTAATAGAGTTTAGAAAAAGAAGTCCTAGTCAATGAACTTTAGTTGCAGGGTTTGTGAATCCTCTGTACTGAGATAGTAACAAAAACTGTCTCACTAAAGGCTGGACCAGGATATGTTATACTGTACAAATCGAGACACTTGACACATATTTAAGAGCTAGCATGTGGGACTCAGGCATCAAGTTTGCCGGGGCTGACCAGTCAGATCCCTGTCCTACTTCACAGGGTTGTTTTGAGGATAAAATTGCTGTGGAGGTTGGAGAACCTTATATACCACTGCAAACTTCTTGGAAAACTGCTGCTGTAAAATGGAACGGATGAATAACTTTTTATATATATATTAAAAATCCTTTTAATCATTTATTCTGGTTCTGCGGAATAAATGATAAAAGAGCTAGGCAGGCTACTGAAACTCTGCGCCCTAAGAACTGGAAATCCCACTCAGCAAATCCTCTCCCATCACGACTTCTAAGATATTGCAAGTACCAGCTGCATGCCTTTAAAACTGCCTTTGCAATCACAAGAGCTAGAAATTAGCTTTTGAAAGTAAAGCTTTTGCCAAACCAGAATAAGGCAGGCATAGGCAAACTCAGCCCTCCAGATGTTTTGGGACTACAGCTCCCATCATCCCTAGCTAACAGGACCAGTGGTCAGGGATGATGGGAGTTGTAGTCCCAAAACATCTGGAGGGCCGAGTTTGCCTATGCCTGTCCTAAGGCCAAACCGGAACCTACCTCACGAATCCCTGCATCCAATACTAATACCTGAGTTTGTGCAGTTGGATTGTGGGATGCTTATTATCTTGCAAAATCCCACTTTCTTCCCATATCATATGATACATTTTTTCCCCTTTCGCTTGGGAAGCCATTTTTCATGCTCCCCATCTATCTGAAATGTAGCAGTCAGACACTAGAGAGGGGACATTGTGGTCCATGGTGCCCAGATAGTGGAAGTTGAGGCCTGGCCTCCCAGCTTCAGATGTGAAGAAAAGATGGTAACATTATTCCAGTGAGCTTTCCAATGGGCCACTTCTGGATTACATAAAATGCTACATAGCCAAGGTATTGGCGTTTGAAATGAACGCATATGGAGAAAAGCATCATAGCTATTGTTATGCATCAGTTAAGAATACTTGAAGGTAATAAAAGTGTATGACTAAGGGATGCAGGGTCTGTGATTCCACAGAAATTATCTTGGTGGGGGTATTACAAACCACACACACACACACACACACACACAGACAGACAGACATCTACCAAAACTAACCATCCTTAACATAATTGCTAATGTTTGCACTGCTGTATTTATTGTCACATCCGTCACATTCTTTAGTTTAAACTATGATTTAAAAGGGGCCTATCTACCTTCAAACATCAGACTGATAGGAAGAGTTCAATTACGTTTTTCTCACCTACTCGCTCACTACATTTTTTAATTATATAGGTTTCTCCTCCAAATGAAAACCTTGTCGTTACGAGTCCCTGGAGGCCATGGTGGGAAAGATATCAACCAATCAGTTACAAGTTATGTTCGCGTTCTGGAAATGAAAATGAATTTAGAGACATGGTGACCAGGTGCAACAATGTCGGAGTAAGTGGCTTTCAGTGGCTATTTATTTTTGGACAATCCTGCTTTTCAACCCAAAGAACGTTGAAGAGCATAATAAACCAACAATCGATTAAAATGCTAAGACTGCAAAATTCTGAGGCAAAAATAATGGGAAGCCTTTCCAAGCTGGAAGATTGGGAAGGCTACATCCTGAACGCTAAGGACTAGAAACCTGAACAAACATAGAGAGGTGCTAGAAGAAGCTAAAACAGATCACTGGAAATAAGTGGCTTGCTAACTACCATGCAACTCTGCTCCTTGTATCTTCCGCAGGTGTATATCTATGTGGACGTTGTAATCAACCATATGTGTGGCTCTGGGGCTGGCTCTGGGAACCGGGGGACTTGTGGCAGTTATTTCAATGCAGGGACCCGAGATTTCCCAGCCGTCCCATACTCTAGCTTTGATTTCAATGACGAGATATGCAAAACACCCAGTGGGGATATAGAGAATTACAGTGATCCTGTTCAGGTAAGCTTTACACTATTGATACCTGATATCCCTGGCTCTCTTAAGATGCTGTTGGACATCATCTCCCATCAGCCTCAGCAATGTGGCCATTGGTTAAGGCATCATGGGAGTTGGAGCCCAGTGACACCTGGAAGACTCCAGCTTCCCCTCTTACAATATAGCTAAGCTACCAATACCATTTATTTCCTTCACGGGATCTTATTGGGTCTTAGGTTTGAAATTGTGTTCCAAATGTATTTTTTGTTCTTTAAATGGCCAATAATAATAATAATAATAATTTATTTATACCCCGCCCATCTGGCTGGGTTTCCCCAGCCACTCTGGGTGTCTTCCAACCGAATATTAAAAACAATACAGTGTCAGACTTTAAAAACTTCCCTAAACAGGGCCGCCTTTAGTTGTCTTTTAAAAGTAAAATAGTTGCTTATTGCCTTGACATCTGCTGGTAGGGCGTTCCACAGGGCAGGTGCCACTACCAAGAAGGCCCTCCTCCTGGTTCCCTGTAACCTCACTTTTCACAGAGAGAGAACCACCAGAAGGCCCTCAGTGCTGGATGGACTGGATGATGGGGGTGGAGATGAATAAATTGGTGGCGTCAGTAGATCCTAAGAGCTTTTGTTCAGGACGGGTGTTGGGCAGCTGTCACAAATACTTTGGTTATTGTGTGTTTATGCTTTGGCCGCTGAACCAATGGCGGTTTTCCCCACACGCACAGGTTCGCAACTGTCGCCTGTCTGGTCTCGTCGACCTCACGCAAAGGAGGGATGACGTGCGTTCAAAAATGGCCGACTACCTCAACCACCTGATTGATATTGGTGTAGCGGGGTTCCGAATCGATGCTTCCAAGCACATGTGGCCTGAGGACATCGCTGCTATTTTAAGCAAAGCACATGACCTCAACACACGGTGGTTTGCCAAAGGTTCACGGCCTTTTGTCTATCAGGAGGTAAGTAACAGGGATTCTAAGCATTTTGTCTAGCACTTTCCAGTGTTCAAACTGTTCTGCATGCCGTACTTACTTATGTGTCAGGCTTCGGGGAATCGGCTTCCTCCCCCCATGGCAGTAGATAAGAAGATCAAAGAAAGGAACATCTTACCAGTCAGAAACTTTAATAATCACAGCGAGAGAACAACAATAAATTTAATAATCGCAGCGAGAGAAGATATCTCCTAGAAATGGTGGTGTTTCCAATTAAGGATTACACCCCCTTCCATTCCTATGAATCTACGTAACTCCTACATCTTGTAATCTGAGCTTGTACGCTCTGTGCTTTCCGTTCTGCCACTTTCTGAGCTCTTCTTGACCTTGGGCTGAGCAGAGGAATTCTGTCCAGAGACCGTGAATCTGTTAACCCTCTCCCTTCCAGTGTTTCTTCTCCTAGCTGTTCCCCATCCAGTATTTCCCAGCTTCTGCCTTCTGAACTAGGCCCCTCTGCAAACCACTGTTCCAAATCTATACTGTCCTCCTGCTCCTGGGAAGAGGCAGGAGCAGGGGGAGGGGGTGGCTCCCACCATTCCTCCTCAGTGCAGCCCTCCTCAACATGGTCCCTGACATCACACATTCTCTCCCTGGGGGGCTCTTGGGCTGGCGGCTCCCAGCTCTCCTCCTCATCCAACCAGGTTCAGACAGGTGGACAGGAAGCACTCCACAATGCAACATTTTGCTGGAAGTCTAACTTGTATGCTCCGAATGCCAGATACACAGGCATCTGTTGTTTGGAACAGAATGCTAGACCTCATGGAGCTTTGGTCTTACCCAACAAGGCAATTATTTTCTCCAAGTCAACCCTTAAAGGTAAAGGTAAAGGGACCCCTAGCCATTAGGTCCAGTCGTGACCAACTCTGGGGTTGCAGCGCTCATCTTACTTTACTGTCCGAGGGAGCCAGTGTACAGCTTCCGGGTCGTGTGGCCAGCATGACTAAGCTGCTTCTGGCGAACCAGAGCAGCACACAGAAACACTGTTTACCTTCCCGCCGGAGCAGTACCTATTTATCTACTTGCACTTTGACGTGCTTTCGAACTGCTAGGTTGGCAGGAGCAGGGACCGAGCAACGGAAGCTCACCCCGTTGTGGGGATTTGAACCGCCGACCTTCTGGTCGGCAAGTCCTAGACTCTGTGTTTTAACCCACAGCGCCACCCGCGTCCCAAGTCAACCCTTAGATATTGCTTAAAAGAATGGAAGAACTGATACACTTGGGCACAACTGCTGCTAGTGCAAATATTGGGTTGGGAAGGAGTTTGCTGTTCCATGTGGAGCCCTTTGTAAGAACCGTTAATTTTAGTGCATTGCGATTGGCGGGACTTGAAAGTGCTTCAGGTCAGCTGCTTCACGTCCTGATATATTTCCATTGTTCACGCTAGTGCCTCGTTTCAAAAGTGTAAGATGCTAGAGCCCAGAGGAAACCAGCTCCATAAGGTAATGGCCATAATAGCCAAAACCATTTCTCTGGTCATATTGGAGATAAGTCGAAATTGATACCACTAGATGTAACACAGTACGTACCACGAGATATTTACGTCTTAGTTCAGCTCGCCGACTATTCCTGTAGTAGCCTACCTTCTCTCAGTGATGTTGGTTTCTGCAGCAAATTGAAATCAATATCGTGTATCCTTTTTCTCTGTGTCTTCCCCCGGCTTTTTCCAGGTAATTGACTTGGGCGGTGAAGCGGTCCACAGCTCTGAATACTTCAGAAACGGCCGGGTGACTGAGTTTAAATATGGCGCAGAACTCGGGACAGTCCTCCGCAAGTGGAACGGAGAAAAGATGGCAAATTTAAAGTAATTTGCTTTAGACTCAATCCATACCCAGGTGCCCATGCACTGAGGGTGGGGCCCCCTGCATGCAGATGGAAGCCAAACACTGCAGATGTCTGTCCCCCATTGCTAGCGCAATAATACAATCATGGCCTACAACGGGAGTGGGGTTTGTATATGAAACTCCACAGGTGTGCTTTTCAGCCTATATTCGGAAGGACAGGATTATTCATTCCCCCCCCACACACACCTTTTTAAAAAAATAAAAATGCAAAAATGTGTAGTGGTTCCCTGACTGGAATTTCTTCCCCCTGGAAACCCAAATGGATCCAACACTTTTGGCATTTTGGTCCATTTGCCCAAGAGGTTATGGAGCATTAGCTGCCACTGCAATTCTGAGTATTTTATTACCTGTTTTATGACAGATACTGGGTGCTTTTATAACCCCAATCCTTACCTGGCTTTACTGGCTGTCAGTTAGTTTCCAGGTCCAATTCAAAGTGCTGGTGTTGACCTATAAATTCTTAGGCAGCTCAGGACCTCAATAACGTAAAAACCACTTCTCTCCATAAGAACCAACCCAGACTCTGTACTTGTCACCTGAGGCCCTTCTCGATGTTCCCCCTCCCTGAGAGGTCCAGACTCCTGACCAGTCGTGACCGACTCTGGGGTTTCGGCGCTCATCTCGCTTTATTGGCCGAGGGAGCCGGCGTACAGCTTCCGGGTCATGTGGCCAGCATGACTAAGCCACTTCTGGCGAACCAGAGCAGTGCACGGAAATGCCCTTTACCTTCCCGCCGGAGTGGTACCTATTTATCTACTTGCACTTCGACGTGCTTTCGTATAGAATACAGCAAAACGTACAAAACCATGTAAAAGGATCAAATTGAGAAACAAGGACACCAACAAGAAATAATAAAATTATTTCTAAAAACTGTCTCTGAACATAAGAATTGGCCTTTTCTGTGGTGGTTCCTCGACTGTGGAATGCTCTCCCCAGAGAAGTCTTTAGGTGCCAAGCAAACCATTCCTCTTTTCCAAGGACTTTGCCCATTAAATAATCTAAGGCCTGTTAAAGGTGGGGATTATCAGACCATTATTATGATCATTTTTTATTATGCTATCTGTCATCATGCTTTTTATTATGTTATTATTATTATGCTCTGTAAAATTTGTTTTATCTTTTGATAAAAGGCAGTATATAAATCAAATTCATCATTATCATCGTTATCATCATCTTCACCAAACTTCTAAAGCTGTGCTTTTACCTGCTCTTAAGCTGTCTGGAATGGTTTTTGTTTCAGTTTGGCTGTCACCCCCTCAGAGATCGTGTAATGAGCAGTGGGCTAAAAAAATATACCTGGTAAATAAACAGTAGTTTGCACCAAAGTGAATTGTGAATAAAGTTTTGATTATTTCTTCACAATTTAGGCGCTGGGGAGAAAACTGGAGTTTGATGCCTTCTGACAAAGCCATTGTCTTTGTAGATAACCACGACAACCAGAGGGGCCATGGTGCTGGTGGAGCCTCCATTCTTACTTTCTGGAACCCAAGGTAAGGTTATTGAGCAACAATGTTTATTTCCTGAGGTCTGAATATCCAGGCATGTTGATATCAAAAGCAGTTCAGAAGAGAAGGAATCCTATTGGTCTGCTGGGTACCCAATGGTAAAACAACAACAACAAACCTATGGTTATGTGAAACATTCTCAATAAACACACAAGAAGTAACCGGCTGCACTTTTGCATAAATAAGGTATACTATTCATTGTATCAAATGGTAGATTTCAACGGAAGTCTCATAAAGTTCAACGAAAAAAGCAGAAGACCCAGTGGATCAGTTCATTCGCTAGTCAGTTCATGCATAAGGTCCGTACAAGTATAAGTATCTGTTCCACCTGTCTATTCATAGAGTCCAATAATCCACATGAAGGGTTGTTACAGTTCCACAGAATCCTTTCACAGAGTCTAAGATAAGGATTTCCGGTATATTAGCCTTGTTTCGCCACTACTATGCTATGAGATCCACTATCCTGTAACATTACATATGAGCCTGTTCTACTGATGAAGCCTAGGCTAATGTGGATTATTGGACATACATTAATATATAAAAATTTCTTCCCATACATTAATATATAAAAATGTGTATAGTCTTATTATCCAAATACTAATTTCTTTATCAGTAACCTCATATATTCTATATAAAGTCATTCCAAATATCATTACATTTATCCAAAGTAATTATTTGTCTATAAATTGGAACATTACTGTGCTGTATCTAATCTCTGCTTGAATGATCTTCCTATTGAAGAGATTTTTGCTGGTCTGACTCAGTGTTTTAAAAATGTACATATTTGGAGAAAGTGGCAGGACTCAGAATGCCCTCTGGATGGTGCTAGCATCAAACATCCTTGGCTATTGGCCATGCTGACTGCAGCTGATGGGAGTTGGTCTCCATCAATGTCTAGAGGGCAGCATGTTGGCTGCTTCTGCACTTGTACATAAACTACCTATAATGAATTATTAGTGTGGTGCAGAATTCAGGTTTCCTTGGCAGTATACACAGCATGAATGTAAGACACCTGAGAACTGTACTATCGGGAATGGGGAGTTGCTTTGGAAGAGAATATGAAATTCTTGGGCCTGCTTATTTTCTGTACTCTGGTACACTTTTGGCAACTAGGTGCCTCTTATCCATTTTTCAGACTCTATAAGATGGCAGTTGGGTTTATGCTTGCTCACCCTTATGGATTTACACGAATAATGTCAAGTTACAGGTGGCCAAGAGTTATCCAGCATGGAAAGGTAACTTTATTCCGGTTCACAACAGCTATTTGTTAATTCCATATCAAAGGCGTTCTGTCTTAAGGGATAGTATTGACACTTGGAAAACAGGTTTTTTGGCCCCAAAGCCAGAGCAACCGTTGAAATCTATGCTTTAAGTTGGCTGTTACCAACTTAGCAGTGTTATCCTGTGCATGTCTACACCCAGAAGTAAGATTTACTGGATTCAGTGGGACTTACTTTCAGGTAACCGTCATAGGATAGCGGTCTTTTGTCTTGATTAGTTTTGGTGAGATTTAAGGAGGACTCATGTTTTTGACTGAGATCACTGACTGCAAAGCCCTCCTCCCTCCCATACGAACATAATAGACTTAGGCGGGCTTCCACAATAAATTTAGCCTGAGGCTGTGCCTCACAACTATCAGGCCATCAAACCTAGTATGCAAGGATGGGCTATGTCAGGGACTGGCAGGACGAAGAGGAGTGGTGGGAGACAACAGCCGGGGAACCTTAAGGGAAGCCTGAGAGAAGGTAGGCTCAGAGCCTGGGGAGTGGTGGTGGGACACTGAGGACAGGTCAGAGGATGAAAGAGGGTGGCAGAATGGTGGGAGGCTGAAGAAACAACAGGTTTGAGTCAGAGAGAAGAGCCAGATGCAGAAAGCAGTGCAGACTCAAGACATGAAGCAGAGAAGGAGGGGCCAGAGGCTGAATAAGCAGAGCTTGCCTTTCCTACTGTAGTAAGCTCCCCTCCCCCTTGTCTCCAAGGTCCCTGACATAGTTTAAGGCTGCTGGGGAGACATCCAGCTAGGGAGGAGACTTAGTGAGAAGTAGAAGGCAAAGACCTTCAGTTCTGGCAACAGTTTCATAGGGGCCAGTCCTGTTTGTGGGCATTGCTGCCTGGTACACTGTTTTCTTGAATGAAGAGCGAACTTTCCTGCCTGTCTCTGCATCTTGAGTGCTGACCTGCATCAGAACCAACCCTGACAGACAAGCACATCAGTGTAGTCCAGTCTCAGAAAATTTGCTTGCTATGAAGGTTCACCAGTATAATCAAGTAAATTTGGAAGCCTTGTTGTTGTACTTTAAATCAGGGCAGATCTGTCATAAGTCACATGGCCCAACTACAACTCCCATCATACCTGACTATTGCCCATGCTGGTTGGGGCTGAGAACTGGAGGGACACAGGTTAGCTACCCCTGTTCTAAATGGAGGCCATGACTACTCATTTGGGGAATAAACTAGTCTATCGTGCTGCCATGACTTACGACAGACCTGGTCTGGTTTAAGGTACATCAACCAGCATGTTGAGACTCACGGCCAGCAAATTTTATTCGGCATGTTATAGTGTCATTTCTTGTTGTCTAATCACTTTAAATGTCATCTTCCATAACTAGGACCTAAATGACTGGGTTGGACCACCTAGCAACAGTGATGGATCAATTAAACCTGTTACGATTAACACAAATGGCACCTGTGGTAACGGCTGGGTCTGCGAACATCGTTGGAATCAAATAAGGTAATGGAAGCTGCCAGATGTGTCATCTGTTCCTGCGGGAGCCTTCTTGAGATGGAGAAAGCCTGTTTCTCCAGATGTTTAGGATTCCAGTGACTTGTGCCGTTTGCATAAGGAAGTGATACACGTGTCTTATTTCTAGGAACATGGTGACATTCCGAAATGTAGTGTACGGCCAACCTATTACGAGGTGGTGGGATGATGACGACAACCAGGTAGCATTTGGACGTGATGGCAAAGGATTCGTTGTGTTTAATAATGATGACAGGTAATGTTTTTATGTAGAGATGAAGGCGTTCAGAAATTATGCGTAGCAAGTCATTTGCCAAATTTGTATAGCAGATTAATTTTGCTGCTTGTCTTTTGCATGTCTGCTTGTGCACCCAGGGGAGCAAATGATCCAGGAGTACAGAATGACAATGTGACCAGAAGCATATACAGTGGTACCTCGGGTTACATACGCTTCAGGTTACATACGCTTCAGGTTACAGACTCTGCTAACCCAGAAATAGTGCTTCAGGTTAAGAACTTTGCTTCAGGATGAGAACAGAAATTGTGCTCCGGCGGCGCGGCAGCAGCAGGAGGCCCCATTAACTAAAGGGGTGCTTCAGGTGAAGAACAGTTTCATGTTAAGAACAGACCTCCGGAAGTACTTAACCTGAGGTACCACTGTAAACTTGAGTATGTAAAATGGCATAAAAAATTTAAAATTATTATTTTTGTTTTCTTTTGTACAGGGCGTTGTCGGTAACATTACCAACCGGTCTTCCCCCTGGCACTTATTGCGATGTTATTTCGGGAGGAAAGGAAGGCAACCTCTGCACTGGAACGCAAATCCGCGTTGCTGCTAATGGCACTGCTCATTTTCAACTTAACAGCCAAACTGAAAATCCATTCATTGCAATTCATGTCGAAGCCAAGCTGTAATCCACACTGAATCTCTTTTTGTTTGTTTTTCTGTCTTAGCTCTTCTAAGCTTTATGAAGCTAAATTAAAGTAAAATGCAAAACCTCATAAATTATCTCTAGATGAATAAAAGTCACTTGTGGCTCAGCTTATTTCTTTCTTTTCTGATTAATTTTAGAATTCCTTTCTCATTCGTCCTTCAAAGAAGGTAAGTCCTGCTGGATGAGAGCAGTGTGCCATCTTAGTGTGCCATCTTGTTCTTGGCATCACCCAGCCACATGCCTCTGGGAACCTCACAAACGAAGTATGAGGAGGACACCTGTCAGGGGTTCAGGGAGAGAGGCACAGGGTAGGCAGGAGATGGAGAGCGATGGGGAGGAATTCCAAGCCAGCGAGGAAGAGGATGACAATGACTCAAGAGATTCCATGAGTCTTTCCAGCGAATCAGAGGATTCCCAGAAGGGGGCGCCGGTGGTTAAGGCCAGGGAGCCCCAGGGGGGACGTGTCAGGAGCAGGGGGCCAGCGGAGGATCCCAAAGTGGCAGCTGGGCGTCAGGACCAGCCTCCCCACCAGAGTGCAGCGAAGGGGGTGGAGTTTCCAGTGTGTCAGAGGAAGCAGCTCCGGGAGCAGAGAAAGGAGGGAGGTCAGAGCAAGCCGCCCTTCCGGAAAGGGAGGGGAGCAGTGAAGGGAGTAGTGTAACTGTCAAAAGGAAAGTTAGAGGCCTGGCGCGCGCGCCGAGTTCAAATGTAGAGGCGCGCGGAAGTACAGGGAGCCCGGAGGAGGGGCCAGGTCCCAAAGCCCCCAGGAGGGGGGAAGAGCAGTCTGGGGATTCAGCGTCAGAGGAATCCAGGAGGGGCGAAACCCCAGCGGGCAGAAGGACCCTGCGGAAAGGAAGGAGAGAAAGAGGTGGAGCAGCGCAAGTCTCTTAAATTGGTGCAGGGGAGGGACTGACTCAGAGGGGACTTCAGCGGTCTAAGCGTAAGAGACGTAAGGCTGCGCGCCTAGGATGTCAAGCAAACCATGAACTGCAATAAACACCTTTGTATATAAGAAGACATAGGCGTTGGTCTTTTGTGAGCTGAGACTTGAGGCAGCCTTGACAACACCTTTCTCCATCACCACCATTGTTTGTCTCCCAAACAAGCTACCCTTGCCGATTTTATGCTCTTTAGATCTTTGCTGTCTTTTGATCTCATGCTGATTTTGTGTGCACTAAGAAGACTTCTTTTTCTTTATATTTAGATATTTCGGTATGCATAAATAAAACCCAAAGTTTTGCAGGTTTTTTTAATTTAAAAAATGCAAGTCAACCAACAATAATGAGCTCAGTCATTGAACAGTGTTGAACAGTGATGGACTTTGGGGTGGGTGGAAGTGAAATAGAACCACTGGAACTCTGGCCAGCAGTGCTTCGTGCTGAAACACTTTGCTGCAGGTCCCATGTGTCGTGTAATAATGCAGTCCATTCCTGCATAGAACTGTTTGCTGGAGGAGTGTCTACAAAAACAAGGGAATCGATCCCTGAGTCCAAGCAGAATGACTAAGGTGTCTTGATAATCATTCATCATTTGAAATCTTCATTGCTTTGCCGAAGGCAAGTTGGCGATCTACACCCTGTAGGAAACTAGTAACTTCCCCAACTAAGCGTGATAAATGAACCATTGGGATTAACGTTTGGCGATAGGGTCATACTGACTCTTATTATATTGTTTGGGCTTATTTGTGCAACAGTTACAGGTTACAATTTCATGAAGAGAAATCTAGCTCTGGGCGACTCCTGGTGACCTCAAGCACCTTAGAAAGCACTTCTCACGGTTCACATGCTGCAGGGAGCTTTTGTTTTTGCTTCACCACCCAAATCTTTGCACCTGTGCAAATATGAAAGCTTGTTTTCCTTTGGTGCATATCAACAGCCAACCTTGCTTTTGCTCATGGTTTCATCGATCGACTTTTCAAAAGCAGGTGTTGTAAGACCACCTTAATTTTTGACGCCGTTTTATTTCAAGGAACTGTAAAGCTGATTATATTAAAGGAATCGGCCTTTGAGTGTGGATTGGCAATAGCTCTGACCATATTTGCAGCACCTCCTGTGATTTGCCTAGTTGGTGGCACAACAAATTCTCTCTTTTTTTATTGCAATTTAAAATTCCAGATACACATCAACTTTTCCTTTATATTAACATGCATCTTATACTTTATTCTTCTATATATATATGCATACTCTTAATAATAATTTTTGACTTCCCTCTACCTCTTAACAGCTTCTCTCTTTATTTCATTTTCTTTTGTACTGTGTCAAAATCCTATCAACCTTCTCTTTATATATAATAACTCCTCTACAAATTTTGTAATTTTGTGAAATTTACTCTAGGCACATCCAAGTTTTGATTGGGGAACCCTGTTTACACAAATAGTTTTTTAAACAAACCCATTCTTTTTTAATCCTTAAGGTCGAGTGATTTCTTATTGCTTCTGTCATTTTGGCTAGTTCGACATGCACACTTTCTTTTGCCATTCTTCCTTAGTTGGAGTCAAATCCCCTTTCCAGTATTTGGCAGTTAACACTCTAGCCTCAGTTGTTGCATAAAGAAATACTCTCTTGCTTTCTCTTGAGATGCTTATTGTCATTATGCCCAGTAAGAAGGCCTCTGGTCTTTTGGGAAATGTTTGTCTGAGCATTTTCTTTAATTCTTCATAGACCATGTCCCCCCCTTTTTTTAAATTTGGGGACAGGTGGTGGCACAACTAGTTCTCTACTGATGAATTCTCTGACCGTTTTAAAATCTTCAGCAATCCTGGAACAATTACATTCCAGCAAAAGGTCCTGATCCATGGTAGTGATAAAGCCTCCTTTCCCTTTCATTTTTCTTACACTTAACCGTCTTTCATTCATTCATTGTATTCTTCCTTTCCAACGGAGCTCAAGGCAGTATTTGTCCTCAAAACAGCCCTGTGAGGTACCGTATTTTTCGCTCTATAAGACGCACCAGACCATAGGGCGCACCTAGTTTTTGGAGGAGGAAAACAAGAAAAAAAATATTCTGAATCTCAGAAGCCAGAACAGCAAGATGGATTGCTGCGCAGTGAAAGCAGCAATCCCTCTTGCTGTTCTGGCTTCTGGGATAGCTGCGCAGCCTGCATTCACTCCATAAGACGCACACACATTTCCCCTTACTTTTTAGGAGGGAAAAAGTGAGTCTTATAGAGCAAAAAATACAGTAAGTTGGGCTGAGAGATGATGATTTGCCTAAGGCCACCTGGTGAGCTTTGTGCTTCGAGTGGGTCTTTAAAATTTGGTCTCTCGGGTACCAATCTGACACTCTAACCACTACACCATCTCGAGCCAAAGAATGAGCAGTGGTCTGGACATTGACATAGAGGGCCATGGTGGCCAGGTCAGATAGGCCAATGAGAAAAGCTGTGAGGGCACTGGAACTGAACCCCCATGAGCTACAGACTCCAGTTGTGATCCCCTAGAAAAGAGGTGGAGAACCTCAGGCCCAGGGCTTCTGTATTTGGTGCAAGAAGCTGTCCTCAAGCCACACCTTCTACCCCACTGGCTGCCCTGGCCTCATTTCATACCCTCCTTGAGTGTCCGTCACCCCCAGCTGGACTGTGCTCTTGAACTCTGCTTTCGTTTGCCTTGAATGAAGGATATGTGAGTGTGCCTACCGTACTGAGGTAACATTGACATAAACCGCTCCACCCACTTTTGTCGCTGGCCTTGCCCAGCCCTGGCATGTGCATACCCTCCAATATTTCTCCAATGTAAACAGGGATGTCCTATTCAACGACGACAGTTTTATTATTTATATCCCACCCATCTGACTGACATCCACTCTGGATGGCTTCCATCATATATAAAAACACCATAAAACATTAAACATTACACAACTTCCCTATACAGGGCTGCCTTCAAATGTCTTCTAAAGGTTGTAGAGTTACTTATCTCCTTGGCTTGGGGGCCGCATAACTCCACACACTCCAACATTTCTCCAATAAAAATAGGGACGTCCTAAGTGGGACATTCTGGGATCAAATCAGAAATCGGGATGGCTTCTGTAAATCTGGGACTCTCCCTGGAAAATAGGGACACTTGGAGGTTCTGCATGTGGCCTCCAGAAGAGAATGTGACCCTTTGCAACCTCTTCAGAGGCCAGAGCTCTCTTGACCAGGGGTCTCCTGCTTCCCCTTGCCCACACAGGCAATAAACCCAGTTGGAACTAGCAGAGACAAAGGGCTGTCCCTTTAAGTCTCTCCACTCCCTGGGAAGGAAACAGTTTGGGATATAGGTTTGGAGTCAGAAATCTGTTGGAGCAAGTCATCTGCTCCATGGGATCTGTCTGGAATACCAAGAGACCTTTCTCTCACTATCCTTGTTCTCCAGGACATAATACCTGAATTTATCATCTATATCAGGGGTTCCCAAACAGAGATCCATGGACTACCAGTGATCTGTGAGCTGCATTCAGGTGGTCCATAGTGTGTCTGTGAAGAACAGACCCTCCAAGTGTCCCCATTTTCCAGGGACAGTCCCGGATTTACAGAAGCTGTCCTGCTTTCTGATTTGATCCTGGAATGTCCTGCTTTTCCTTAGAACATCCCTATTTTCATCAGAGAAATGTTGGAGGGTATGGTAGGATGTCCCTGTTTTCATAGAAATGTTGAAAGGGACATCTCTATTTCATGGAGAGTATGAGTACAGTGGGTGCATTAAATGACCATACTGTTTTTTTAATTGTATTTTGATTGCCTCTTTTATTTCTTATCTTGCATTTTCTATTTATTATTGTAGTTTCTACTATATTCTACAGAATTAAAACTGAAATAAAATAAAGACATGAGGTACAAAACACATATAAAATGTAGAAGAAGCATTAGAAATATAATTAAAGATCACACAGCATTTAGCACAGCTCATTGCAATTGCTGAAATAGGCAGAAAAATCATTAAGTGGTCCACCAAGACTTTCAGCGATTTTCAATGCTCTGCAGGGGGCTGGGAAGTTTGAGAACCACAGACATACATATCAGCTCTTCTTAATGAGTTTCCACTCAGGTGACTCTCAATACAACTGCTTTGAAGCTCCTGAGATATCTTCAGCACATGCTTATCTTGTCATGTTAATATATTAACAATACTAGCT